AATATTATTTAATTGCCAATTTATAATTAAATGTCTAAATGTCTAAATGTTATTATTATTAATTAATTGTCTAAGTGTATTATTTAATTAAAAGTGTGTATTTGTATTTTTATTAATATTATTATTATTTTAAAAATTTAATTGTGTGTATAATATATATAAATAATAATCGTTTTATTTAATTAAAATCGTCGAGTCAAACCGAGTTAAGTTAAGATGGCTAATCGAGCCCGAGTAAAAACCGTATAAAAGCTACAAAAGCCGAGCCCGAGAGCTGGCCTGAATGTCTAAACCCGGCGCCCCAAACCCATGAGTTTGACCCGGTTCTCTCACTCATTCTTGTGCACGTGTGGTGTGAGTTGTCTTGGTCAACAAGATTATTTAACCTACCTGTTATACATATATATATATATATATATATATATATATATATGTGTGTGTGTGTGTGTGTGTGTCTCTATATATCCCTCTCGTTCTGTTGATTGCGCCCCGCAAACAGACTTTTTTTTTCTCCCAATCTCTCGATCGCGACTTAGGGCAGAGGAGAGAACCTTCGTTCTCAATCTGATCGCTTCCTCTCTCGTCCTCCCATCACCATCATCATCACCTTCCACTTTCTCTGAGATTACCGTCTCCATCGTCTTCACTCGCGAGGACCATCCCTTCCGGCGAACCTCTGTCAACGCGGCGACTCCTGAACCCTACAACTCGATCACCCGCCACCACCTCCTCCCGCCGGCGAGTACCACTGCGTACCAGCGACTTCCAGCAACCAGACACGCCCCTCTCCCATTCTCTGCAAATCCCTTCCAGCGAGCAGCAACCTTCATCTCGTCAGAACTAGTCGCGACCACTTCCGGCAAAGTTCAGCAACCCCGTCGTCACGAGCAGCGTCCCCCATGATCACTCGACTTCCGGCAAGTTCTGACTCCGCACAGCAACCTCCGCGATGAGCCGCAGCAAGCCATCGACCTCCTCCCCTGTTCGCGAAGAACCTGACTCGCTGGCCCGTTTCCGGCGAACCCAGCAAGCAGACGACTGCTCACCCGCGTCGGAACACTCAGTGGCAATCATAACCGCCGGACAGCCCCTTTGTTTCTGACAAGCAAGCCACCGTGTGCTTCTCGTCAACCCTTCATTCCGTTTTCGATCGATTCCAGAGAACCATACTTAGGCTGGAGTCCCGTCTCTTTAATTTTCATGTTAAATATTAATGTGAATTGTTATGAATTATCAAATCAAAAATACGTAACTATTCAAGTGAAATCATAAGTTGTTATTGTCCTATCATGTTTAATAAGACCGAGTTGGACCTCGGACAACGTGTTGTCGATATGTCGTATGTTTAAGTCTTAAAGAATCGGTATCGATTCAGTCGAGACAAAAATTCTTTAATCCCCGTTGGGGGGGTAAAAAAGAAGATAGAATTCCTGATTATTCAGACACGATTCTGCTATTTACTGGAATCATTTTATTGGAATACGATAGGATGAAAACAAGGAAAATCCTCTCTGGATAGGAAACGGTTAATCATTACTGTTGGGATTCTGGTTTTTATTTATACGTAGAATTATTTGGCTCAGTATCAAGGATACCTCTCCGAGTCAGCCCGCGCTTTTTCGAAGAATCCTGCACCATGTGGTTTAATTCGATGCAGAGCAAAGAACCTTACCAGGGCATGACATGCCCGCGAATCCTCTTGAAAGAAATCGCGAATATATTCAAAAAATGCCACCTGTGAAATCCATTCTTTCATATATTGGAAAAAGGGGTGATTGGACATCCGGGGCACGCCTTAAAAAAGTTCTTCCTTCTCTCGCCTTTGGTAGTTGAATGTGTTAGGGGAAATCGAATGGATTCGGTCTTATACATACGCGAGTGATAGGATTTTCAAAGAACCATCAAACGGAAAATGTTGTGTCAGGAGAAAGAAATTAGTACAAGAAGCCGTGGATACACTTCTTGATAATGGAATTCGGGGGTACGAACGAAGCAAACACAAAAATGAAATGAACACCAAAACTAAATGTCCTATCTGCCTTCCCCGGCAACGGTGCCAAATTTGTCGTAGCAAATTATTTTCTCGAACGTCTTGTGAATGTCTTTGGAAGGGTTAAGGATTTTCAGCTTTCCATTTTGATCTGTTGCAACTTTCAATTTAAGTCGAAAATTCTATTTTTTTCGTTGGAAGACCAGAGAAGAGATAAGAGCGGGAAAGTTCAGTTCGGTAGAACGCGGGTCTCCAAAACCCGATGCCAAGTTCGAGAAATGCGAGTTCTGGCTTGAGAGAGTTGTTCCTATAGTGGCAGGTAAAGGAAAGCGGCAGCTAATTGAATGGGGCTTATGTCGAACCTCTTCAACCGAAATGAAATAAGATTCATGAAGGAATGCTAGTGTGCCCCCGCCGGCGGATTAGTCGACATTTTTTACAAATTTTACTTCAAACTTTACCAACGGTATGGACGAATTCCTCACTTCATCCAAATGTATAAAAGATTCTAGCCGCACTTAAAAGCCGAGTACTCTGCCGTGGGCGTTCGTAGTGACTGAGGGGGTCGAAGACGGCGACCAAGTGAAAGTGAACAGCCCCGAGCAAATCTTCTAGAGAGCGTACCCGTTGTAGCCAAAAAAAAGGGTCGTAGATCTGCTTCGCATAGAATGTGAAAGCGGGAAAGTCTATAATAATGAAATGAGGGCCATGGCTACTTGGCCTTGTTGATCCGGAATTGAAAACTCCCGCTCGCTCGTGAGAAGCCCCCTTTTTCAATTCCCATTGAGGCCGAACCTAAACCTGTGCTCGAGAGATAGCTGTCCATACACTGATAAGGGATGTATGGATTCTCCCGTTGATTGGGGAAGGCGTAAAATGTGGAATCAATAACCAAACATGAGGGATCGGTAAAACCATTGTAGCTATGGGAGAACCCCGAGACTATAGAAGACCTGTTAACAACATCGACGAAAGGAAATTTCTTTCGAATATATGAATTGTGCTACATATTCAAAACCTATTTTCATCTTAATTTGAATTAAAAAAATCTCTGGTTCTCTTTTCTCCTTCTCTTCCTGTTTTTGACTTAGGAATATCAAACTACGGAAAAATAAAGTAGTAGACAGTAGACCGGACTAGGGACTTGTAGCTAAAGAGGGAGGCCGGGCCGCCGAGAGCGGTAATCGACCGCTTTAGTTGCCATCGTTGAATTTGGAACCCTGAACAGACTGCGGGATGTGAGTCAGTCCTCTCTCTTGGTCTCTCAATTACATCGACCCTCGGGTGGTCGCATCCTTACTGGCACACGAGACCTGGGTCAACAAAAACATATCGAATTAAACCACATGCTCCACCGCTTGTGCGGGCCCCCGTCAATTCCTTTGAGTTTCATTCTTGCGAACGTACTCCCCAGGCGNTTTGAGTTTCATTCTTGCGAACGTACTCCCCAGGCGGGATACTTAACTCCTAAAGCTCCTGTCTTGAAAGTGCAACTCTGGAACTTCTTAGCTGCTGTATTAATTAGCCAGAGGCTTTCTAAATAACCCACTAAAAGCCTAGGAGAGCTCCCCTTGCTCCGCTAAGGCCCTAGAGGCCTTTCTTTTCTTCGCTTATCACTAGGGAAAGCCGATACAGCTGATCCCTCACCAGATGAGGCTGGTGACAAGTTCCAATTGTACTTTTGTTCACCAATATCTGACCGAGAAATGCGTGCCTAAGGGCATATCGGTTGAAGTAGATTCCTCTTTTTGATCAATCAAAACCCCTTCCCAAACCGTACAAGCTTCTTCCATATCATTATCCAATTCTTATGCCAAAAAGCCCGCATTTTGAAAGTGGGTGCCCTATGTGTTTACAGTGACTGCAGTAAGGTGGCACATATTCATATTCTTTTATTTGACCACTTCCAATCCTGTCTTCTAATGGTTCGACGGGTGGCGCTACGCCGTGAAGGAGCAATCACTTATGGTTGTTCCTTTCCAGGATGGATGGCTACTGCATATTATCATATAGAAAGAAAATGAAAACCAGCGTAAGCTAGTGATGCTTTCGGCTACTGGACTTTCGCCATCTAGGGTGCAGCATTCACGCTGCTTCGCCTAGAGAGCTCTTTCTTGATTCTATGGGTGGTGGTGCATGGCCGTTCTTCTTATGTCTGCCGCGTGCGTGTGTACTTCATTAGTTTTTCTCACACTAACCCGTCAATTTGGGATCCAATTCAATAGTTTCCTTGGGAGGTATCCGGAAGGAATTGGATATTTTCCGTTTCGTCCAAGCAGGGTCCGAAGTATCAGCCTTATTGGGTAGAATGCCTTCCGCACTAGTTCTAAATCAAATACTAAGTCTAAATGAAGTGGTTCTTTCCTTGGCCAGAGTACGAATACCTAAAGGGGGTATGTGCAGAGAAAACATCTGTCACTGGTTGTTTACTTATTTTCGTAGTTCACTAGATGGCAAGGTTTAGTTCCTTTCAGCTGTCACAGGTTTACTTACTGACTTATGTCCCACTCCGGGTTGAGAAAGAAAGATCTACTTACTTTTGACTTTCAATGCTTTTGAGAATCTCCTCCGTCTAACGTAATTTGACCGTGGGGATAGCAGGTTCTCCGAATTCTATTGATCATCTTGATGTAGGGTTATCAGAGTTTATCAGCATAATAGGAAGGTGGGGACGAGGTCTCGACTTCAAGGAGAGGTCAATGTAATCGAGCTTTCGACCATATTTCGATTGTTAAGACGATATATAAGGACCGCTACTATACAGAGTATTACACCCCTGATCCTGAAAAAGTTATCACTTAGTAGGTTTCCATACCAAGGCTCAATTCAATTAAGTCCGGTTTCCACTTTTCCGGTTATTCTCGATACTATTTTGAAATATTGGATTTTCCCCGTTTATTTCAAAGTCACGCCATACTATTAGTAATAGTGAAGATAGTAATAGTGAAGAAGATTCATATACTTGTTATGACTTATCCGACGTTGCCTGTTCACATGCTTGCTGGCTCAG